CACCATTTTTCCACTGCGTGCTTGAAGTAGGTTTTGTAAGAATGGATTTTTGTCGTCTTTTTTTTAGAATTTTTATGTCGACTTACTCTATACTCGAGTATATTTTAAAAGTAGAGTGTTTTAAGTTTCTTGCAATTTGTTTGTTTTTTTGCAGTTATTGACGTTTTTTTTTTACAGTTACTAACAATTTAACCACAAGCTCAAGTAACATTTTTTTCGTGTTCTACTATTTTATATTCTCAAAACATCAGTGTTTTATCTAAGTCAAATAATGATCACTTACCTCCTTTTTTATCTGGTCCTTCTTTCTCTGGAAATAAAACAAAATTTATGATGTTGCAACAGAAGTTTTATATATTTTAAGTTTGAATTACGATCTGTATAAAACCCAATACGGGAAACTTTGTTATTTTTATTATTTTATTTTAACTATTGCTTTTTTTTAATTTTTCAATTTTTTTTTGTTTCTTAACATCTTGCAATGGTCATTTTTAAAATGTTGTTTCTTATATATTACGGATTTTCAAAAAAGTTTCTGTTACCAATGGGGCTTGGTGCTAAGGCTAATTTAAGACAAAAATAAGTATCAACAAATATTGAGTGAAATCTCAATTCTAAAACTAATGCAGAAGTGAAGATTGATGTAAAACGAAATAGAATTTTTATGTTCGCTGTTGAAGACATTGTTACCGGTGTAATGATAAAGTCGTTATTATCTTTGCATTTGGTGTCTATATATATATATATATATATATATATATATATACATATATATATATATATATATATATATATATATATATATATATATATATATATATATATATATATATATATATATATATATATATATATATATATATATACCAGAGATGTAGTCAAAACAGTAAAGGCCAAGATCAGAACTAAGACCAAGACATTTGGGCCCAAGACCAAGACTAAATGCTTCAAGATCAAGGCCATGATTTCAAAAAATCAAACTAAGACCAAGACCAAGACTTTTTACAAAAAAAGATTTACAAAGAAAGTTTTTACAAGATCAAGACTTTAAAATTAAATTTCTTTCATTTTCATACATGAATCAAAAAAAGAATACATAAACAAATAAAAAAATAATAATATAAACAATTTTAATTAAATGTTGAAAAAAAAATTAATAGCTTTATTTAAAATTCTCCTAACATAAAAAATTTCAGTTAGAACCATGTCAAACCAACGCAATGAACTCTCGTTGAGAACGGAAAGTTGCGGCAATCTACGGTTTGTTCATAATAACTAATCCATTCATTGAATTGATATTTTTCGTAAGAATCAAGAAACTAAAAGGCAGTAGAAGTCCGAGACCAAGACCAAGACCAAGACTACAACTTATGTTTTCTCTAGGTTTTCAAGACCAAGACTACGACCAAGACTTTAGGCTTCAAGACCAATTCCAAGACCAAGGCAGTTAAATTCTCGAGGCGTCTATATATATATTTATATATATATATATATATATATATATATATATATATATATATATATATATATATATATATATATATATATATATATATATATATATATATATATATATATATATATATATATATATACACATATATATGTATATATATATATATATATATATATATATATATATATATATATATATATATATATATATATATATATATATATATATATATATAAATTATACATTGTTCGATCTAATTTTGATATAACCAATAATTTGTTCAGCTTAAAAATATATATAAAAAGATTGCATCTGCGGATATATATACTTGAACGTTTTTAACTTTAAAGTAAAATACTTTTTTAATAACTTTTTTAAAAAGTAATAAACCGTTTTTAGTTTAATACGTAATTGTTATTTGTTTATTTCGTTTTTTTACTAATTGTTTTTTTTTTTTTGTTTATTATTTAATATCTATTAATCAGCCCTTCTTTATTTAAAATAATGCAATATAAATATTTTTATTTGTATTGCATTATTTTATTTAAAATAATGCAATACAAATAAAAATATTTATATTGCATTATTTTAAATAAAACTTAATGCAATTTTTATGTTTGATAACATTCACGATTATCTCATTTTTGGTTCATTTTATTTTTTAAAATTATTCCGCTGGAAGATTGTTACTTAGACTTTTTTAGCACTTATTATTTGTGTACATTATTAAAAACCTTTTAAAACACCAATGTAACGCGGCTCGGTGATAAGACGAGTCTGTCTTCTTCTTGCTCCGGCCAGGATTTTTTATTATTATAATTTCTTTTTTGTAATTTTTAACAACGGCAAAATAAAAAAATTTAAAAAAATGTCATTGTTGTGTATTGCTATACTTTTTGTCATTTTACGTTTTTAACAGGTTCTGATAAAATGACCACTTGACCTTCTTCCTGTTTAATTGGAATGACAGAAAGAGTATTGCCATTAGATTCAAGAGTCGAATTAGAGAAAAGGTTTTTTGCAAGTAGTTTTTTTTTTAATTCATTTATTCAACAAAAAATTGAAAAATTACAAATTTTTTCATAATTTTACAAAACTAGGTTAGGTGTCACTCATATAGTTAAAAACTAGACATTGGAGTGACACCTAAATAAAATAAACAAACAAACAAAAAAATCAACAGCAATATTAATAAATAAAAGCAAGCATAAATTAAATTAATTAAAAAAAATGAATAAATAACGATTAAGCTATAATAAATTGAATAATAAGAGAAAAAAAAACAACACCGAATAACAATAAAAATAATTAGCAACAACAGCACAAATAATAATAAACTTTACGCAAACTAAAAGGCAAACACAAAAACTACAAAACGAAAACAAAAGCTACAAAACGAAAAGGCTAACACAAAAACTTCTACAAAATAAAATAAAATAAAAAAACATTTAAAACCTTTTGTTATTTTTGGCTGAAAAAAAAAAGGCGTAGAAAAATTGGTAGCGATTTGTTTTTATTTTTTAATTGGTTCTTTTTATTATTATTTTGAACATTTTTCGAACTTCTTTTTTTTAACTTGGTACTTTGCTTATAACTGATTTTTTTTTTGTTTTGTTTCATTGCATCTATTTGTTCGTTTTAATCTTTTATTTTAGTTTTAAATTATCCTTAAAAGAGGTTAGTGACAGATCCAGGAAGTCCTTGAGAGAGGTAACAAGATCATACCCGAGAATAGGAGATTGTTCGACTAACCTTTGTTTATGACACTGTTGAAGATTTTTCAAAAAAGTTTTTAGAGTCTAACTCTTGTGATAAGATACAAGATTTAGTAAACTGAGAATAACAGAGCTTAGCATCAGACAGCACCTTTTTACATTTATTTCTTGCAATAATAAAAAAAGACGTCTGTGTTCAAGAGAGTTTTTTTTTTGAGAAAAAGATTGAAAAAAATGAGTACGATGTAATAGCTGCACAAAAAATGGCGAAAACTAAGTAATAGAAGGAAGCTTGACTTGAAACCGAAAAGAAGAAATAAAAGCATTCTCCTACATAACCTTCTCCTCAATTTCAGAGGAGGAGGTTATTTAGGATTCAGAGGGTAGTTATATAGGAGCGTTAGGCGCGTTTATATTAGGCGCGTTTATCAAATGCACCTACTACATAACAGTAATTAGTGCAATGATTTGGTGTGTCCGTTGAAAAAGTACGAGGGAAAAGATTTTTAAAGATAATTGCTTAGTAGGAACCGCTCAAAGAAGAACAAAGAGAAACTGAACACAATCTAGGGCAAAAAGAAAATATAGGAGACAAGACACAAACCAATGAGTGGAAGGTTAGAGATTAGGGTAGTCTGGAATACGAGTCACACAGTTAACTATCCGAATAGGATAAGTCATAAAGTTACTTATCTGAGTGCAAAAACCTTGTTTGCATTTGTGATTTGTTTTATTTTTTATTTTACGAAAATAAAATCGTAATTAAAATTAAATGAATAATTAAAAAAAATTCATTTAAATATATAATTTATTTATAACTAATATAACTTTTAATAATATTTTATATAATATCAATATTAATTATATAATATACAAATTGATAACTTAGACTTCCTTCCCATCCAACGTAAACTTATCACCGTATAATGTACCCGGTGGGAAATCGGCTAAATTTGCGGGGCCCGGAGCTATAGTCCCCCCTAGCCCCCTTGATCCGGCACTGCAGATAAAGGCAGCTATTTGGCTAAGAGGACAGCTAGCTTAATAAGATAAAGACCCACTGGCTATTGTAGTTAGTGTCATATCGTAATAAAATTGTTGTCTAAAAAATTTTGATATGTAGCTATCAACCAGCTATTGATTTGTAAATATTTTGTAGCCAGCTACAAAGCTACGATATTTACGATACATTGCTACAAAATCGCAGTGTTTAAAGTTCAATTATCCTCATAATTATAATAGACTCAACACTAAAAATTGAATTTTTTAAGATATAAGCAAAAAATTAAATAGGAAAAAAAAATCGCTTTAAAGTCGCTATAAAGCTAGCTAGTCGCTAGCTCACAACAAAAACGTGATTTTTATTAAAATGTCTACGCTGGTAAAGAAACTAAACATAGAAGTAGATAAATAAAGAACGTAAACATAGAAGTAGATAAATAAAGAACGTATGGTTTTCTATCAAATTACTCTACAACGATTTTTATCACACGTATATAACTTATGTAACTTTTATTTTTTATTAAAAAAAAAAAAAAAAAGCATAAATTATACAGAAATTTTAAACTTAAATTTATAAACAAACTCTTAAAAGTTTTGGACTTGTGTCCTTTTCGAAATGACAGGTTCAATTATTGAGAACTAATTTGCTAGATTTACATTGAAATACAATGCATGTTATATCCGCAGAGTTATATCGCAGATGATATATATAGAAAATGCATTTACTGCATTGCTATGTATATCATCAATGCTATATTCTGGTCCCACAAAATTTCTGACTAAATAGTTAACTACCTACCCATAATGCAGCTCACTTTGTCATGACAAAAATTATTTGAAACATAAACCTCTGCGGTGTAAACAAAAACAATCCGGCGCCAATAAAACCCCATGACAGCTCATGCCATTCGCCAGTTAGGTATAATTTTAATAAGTATCTTTAAAATCAAAAACTTCAATTCAGATTAGTCTCTTTACAAAATAAGTATAATATAACTTTGATCCCTAAATAATTTTTTTCTAATTATAATAAAATGAAACAGAAACGCATAAGATTATTACTAAGAATATCTTATGCATTTAAATCAATTATCGTTTTTCTTTTACAATACAGGATTATAATTTTAAAAACAATGTATCTAATCCCTTTTTAATATTGTTTTGAAAACATATTTCTAAAAAATTATAAACGCACCTTTAATTATATTGAAATAGATTGTCGTAACATTAAAAATAAATGATGCTATAATGAGCAATTGTAAAAGATTTAACTATTATAAATTATGATAATTATAAATAGTTGCATCTTTTCAAATTGGTCATTATAATTTTTATAAAAAACTGTATTTGTTTTTGCAATTAAAACTAGATTAAGTAAAAATAAATACAAAAGAATGTAAATTTTTAAATTGATATATATATATATATATATATATATATATATATATATATATATATATATATATATATATATATATATATATATATATATATATATATATATATATATATATATAATATATATATATATATATATAAAGTACACACATTTTATAACTCTAAATCTATAGGAGTACTGTGTTGTACTAGAGTACTAAAAGTATCAGAGAACTGTGTTAAGTACCTAAATATGCAGTAATAAATTACTAATCTATTAATAACAAAAGTTAAATTAATATATTTTGCCTACTTTAATTTTTGAAAAGCTCACTCTAATCTGAACTAATTTTTCTTTGTTGTAAATGTTCTTCTTACCTAGATACTACATAGTTTAACATGAATAAACAATAAATAAACAATAAACTATTTTCTATACAATCGCCCCTGCTTAATTCTCTATAACAATTTTTTTTTTTAATTCTTTTTTTTTTACTTTAATGCATTTCAATACTTCTATTTCTTTCTAAAATACTATGCTTAAAAAATTCTGGTACATAACAAAACTCTTCTAGGACTTCTCGTTCTTTAACTCTTCTTTCCAAGTTGTTAAACTTCTCTCCATTTTCTTTTCTTCTTTTTATCTGTTATTTTTTTGTTATTGTTATTATTATGATTTTTATATTTATTATTGCTATTATTATTGCTATTATTATTATTATTATTATTATAATTAATACTATTATTGCTATTATTAAAGTGAAAATCTATTGATTTGATTTTGATGTTTTTATTTTAGTATGATATGATCATCAATGGTCATATCATGGTGAAATGAAATGGTTATCAATGATAAATGAAGATAATCATTTTTTCCAGACAAATTTTTTTGTCTGAATTAAAGTGTACTTTTCATAAATAAGTGTTGTTTTTGACTTGACTTAACTTGGACAGAAAGAGAAGAATAAAAATAAAATTAAAAGACTTGAAAAATATTTTTTTTTTACTATATTAAAAGTGCTTTATTTTTAGTTTATAATATATCTACCCAAACCCTTTATATACCTAAGTACTTTATATTATATTTGTAATTGCACAAGTCCTTAGTTAATGCATGTTCTGATACTCTTATATATGGTTAAATGTTAAGCAGGTTATCACCCTTTCTGCCTCTCCTTGTTACTACGCCAGTGTATATGTGTGTGCGTGTGTGTATGTATGTATGTATGTGTGTGTGTGTCTATATGTATGTATATATATATATATATATATATATATATATATATATATATATATATATATATATATATATATATATCTACTATAGCATATTTATATGCGCAATTGTTCAATTTTTTTGCTCATCTAAATCAATATAGATTTTTGAGAATATTAAATATAGCAATATAAAAATAAAGTTATATATTACTGTATTTTATGTTATTATTACTATTATTATCATTAATATTTATTACTAATAAATAATAATAATAATAATAATAATAATAATGATAATAATATATATATATATACACAAAATAGATAAAAACTTACAGTATTTTTTAGATTAAACTATGGAATATCATTTTAAATGGATGCCATTTTAATTGATAAAAATGGTGAAGGTATTAGTTTGAGGTTTGTAAAGTATTTTTATTAAATAATTTTTCTGTTTTATTATTAATATTTATCTAGGATAAAATTATATCAGTAATTTCAATTTTATTAGTTAACCTATAATCAATGTTTCTTGTTTAAAGTTGTGCATAACGCATAAAATTGTTTAAAGTTGTGCATAAACGCTATAGATAATCAAACTAATTATTAAAAAGTTCTAGCTGTCAAATAGACTTCTATATGTTAGGGTAACTAAAAAAATAGTTGTAGTTATTATTATTTTTTTTAATTAAAATAGTTGGAATAATATATACACTTTCTAAAGCGTGTTTTGATAAGCGTTTGCTCACTTTTTCTGCTTACCTTAAGCTATACCGTTTTTTTCGAAAAAGAAGAAGAAAAAACAAAGAATGATGAATGAAACGATTGCTTCCCCATCCCAAACCCTCAGTCGATGTAGCAGCACTCCACTGCGAGTCAGGCTATTTGTCATTTATCACAGCTCAGAAATTAAGGTTTAAGTTTACTATCAGAGTACCCCAAAAATGTTTATAATTATAGTAAGTAGGGGAATCTGGACTCTTCATTTTCATATTTAGAAAAATCTGGGAGGTTCACATTTTTAGAAAATTGAAAATCTGCTATAAAGTCATTTTTTTTATATTTAAAAAAACTAAATATACTGACAGAATCTTAAAGTTAACATAAAATAACTTTATATTCCAACTTTTTATGCTTTTTTAATTTTGCATTTATACATCAACATCATTAGACTGCTTTAAGTTGGCGAAAAAAGTTTAGATGTGCTTGAAATTAATTTAGGAACATAGTATGCTTAGTAAAGTAGAACATATTAAAAATATATAAATAATTTAGTAGAACAGTACTGTTGTATGCATAGTTGTCTAATAACCTAATATATAAACATTAATAATATAATAAATACTAAATAAAATATCTTAAAATCGTTATTACTAATATATTTTTATTGTCTTTTTGAATGAATTTGCAAATGTTTTAAACTTTAGATTTCTATGATGTTGTGTTTTGATGTACAACTGATGTATATTCAATAACTTATAAACTATTTGAACTGAACATCAGCAATTTTTTTGCTTTATTTCTTATGTTTGTTGCTGTACTGCGAAACTCCAAACCTGTTTATTACACTTTTTATCTTGGAATGGCAAGATTCAGATGCCTGCTCGTTAAACTGTCCAAGGGAAAGACCACTCAAATCAACAAATGTTTCCAGATGTGCTGTTACAACATGTACTTTTTTGGTAACCGTCAGCTGTTTATCTACAAACTAAAAAAAATTACTATAAATATGTTTATCAATAACTTGATTTCAAATACAAAGGTTAAAGAATACAGCAATTACCTCTCTGCAATATTCTTGCACATCTTTATAACTTTGTTTAAAACTTTCTGTTAAATTTGAATAATTTGAATCAAGTTTAAGCCAAAGACAGCATGAACCACCTTATACAGTTTAATAGGCATTATCAACTCAAGTTTGTTGCAACTTTTAAATATCTCTCTACATGTGTTTCCTTCAAATGTTCCTCTATGGTAACCTATGGTAACTCTATGGTAACCTTTTCGAAGACATCCAATTCTCTTGATCCAATCTATAAATCCAAACCAAAGCTGCATTATCAGTTCTGCCACATGGTTAACAAATCCCATCAGAAGGTGAAGTTCTGGTAATGGAACTTCACTTATTATACTTAGGGATTTGTCTTCTATCTTGAGCAGACAAGGATTAATGACATTCTAAATATATCTAAACAATAATTTTTTATCTTTTTAAAAATGATAAATTTGTGATAAATGATATATTTTTAAGATATTTACAATATACTTATTTATTTATACCTTGTATTCCTTCATTTTTTTTACCGGAGATCCTGCACACAAATACAGTTCATAGTAATCATTCAAAGATTGAAATGTTCTTAACTCTCCAGAAAATAGTTCAGAAGAACCTTCACACCATGCACAGGTTTACTCTCTCCATGAGCCTACAATTTTGTATAATAATTCAATTTATAAATATAAAAAAACCTTTTCTTAATATCGTGTTTACTTCATATGTTTTATTATCTTAAAATTATTTAAAAACAACATACCGAAATTCCCAGCAATATGTTGATTAACTTCATGTCAGAAGCCAATGAGTACTTGCATTCATGCAACTTCAATCTTTCCACTATCCTTTTCATGTTAGAATGATTCTCATTTACCCTTTCACAATAAGCTAAAACAAGTGACGTATTTGCCACTGAGTATGACCCTATGGAGCTGCTATCTTCTGCCCTGTCTTTGGTTGGATCAAATGGATTTACCATTACTTTCAATGATCCTCCACCTATAAAATTTTTTATCTATATACATAAACACATATATATTGTATATAAATATGTAAAAATAATATTTTTAAAATATGTTGATTATTAAAATATAAATATAAATACCTAAATCCATCCCAATCTTTATAAATAAGTATTGTGGAACTGCCCTCGATGCAAAATCTTGTAATATCTTTAATATATACTAAATCCCTCTTTACTGTAGCATAGTTGTTATTTTTTTCTTTTCATGAAAGTCTAATAATTCAGCGACATAATAGTTCGAAAGTAGTTTACTTTTTTCATCTAGGGTTTTCTCCATGTTTGACTCAAACTTTACACCACTTCTCAAAGTTTTTAACATTTCATTAGACTTAAACTGACTAAGCCCTAAGTTATTTACCAAAGCTTTTACCTCATTGTAATGAATCTTTCTCTGATCACTTTCTGGAGTACCAAGTGTAATATGAATACTTTTACCTCCTTAATATAACTGTTTATTTTAAGAATAATGGTTTATCATAAGATAAACTGCTATTTTAGAATATATATTATAGCTATTTTTATTTAAAAATATTTTACCTGTTCTGAGAATGGTTTGAGCTCCTAGACTTTGCTCTTGATCAGAATAAATTTCTTTAAGAAGGGAAGAAACTACCTGTTCCTGTATCTTTTTGAAAATTTTAGAAATACTCTCAGAAAGATTTGTGCTAGCCTTTCAAGGTGAACATTTGTGGGGTTTACCTTTAGCAATTTTACAGGAGCATATTTGGCAAAGTTTCAGTGTTGAGCTATTTCCCTTTTCATACTTTTATTTAATAATCTATTTCTTTCTGACTGAATATACTGCATAATAACGAGCAACCTCTAGAAGTTTGCAAGCTAGACAAATTAGTATTTTTCCATTTTAGAGTAACTGTGCCTGCAATAGTTTTACCAGCCTTACATAGATATAAGTTTTTCTTACAACCTGGGCATAATCTTTTAGGGTAAGCAAATACTTTTAGTGAAAACTCAGGCTTACAGAAAACTTGAATCAAACCTTCCAAATTCTTATTAACTGGAATGCATTTGTTGTTCTTTTTAAGGCAGCAACAGCAGATGATCTTTTAAAAATCTACATGGTCTCTTTTAAAATGATTTTCTCTATTCTCCTTTGAGAGAAGAGGAGCCATAGATTTAATATATTAGGTATCTTTAACAATTTATGAGTATCTATATTACAATATAGTACCTATATTAAATTAAAATAAAAAAGCATATATTATAATAAAAAGGTAATAAAAAGCATATATTATATAAAAAAGGTGGTGCTCTTTTATATCTGCAGTCTAATTTAAATTATGTAGTTCGTCATGACTTAAAGATTTACTTACCAAAATTACTAGAGTCTGTTTTTGTTGAAATCATTAAGCCACACAAAACAAATGTCTTTATTGGTTGTACATCATCCATCAATGAATCAAAATGAATTCAATACAAAATTTTTAACTCCACTTCTTGAAAAGTTAAGCAAAGAACAAAAATTGATCTTTTAATGGGTGATTTCAATGCAGACCTACTGAGCTATATGAATCTAATCCTACTTCCAACTACCTTGATACTATATGTTCTTACTCATTTACTCCTTCCATAATCTTACTTACTCGTATAGCCTCTAAATCTCAAACACTTATAGATAACATCTTTATGAACTTCTACTCTTCTGATAATCTCTCAGGTAACCTAACTATCTTGGATTACACAGCACACAATTACACAATTTGTTTATGTTCCTGGCATATCCAACCAACCAAATAAAGTTAAAATTTCTAGACGATGTTTGAAAAAATTTGACCCTAACAAGTTTATTATAGAAATTTCTAAAATCAACTGGGAGCTTATGATTAAAAAAGATGAATTCATCAATAAATTTTTAAAAAAGATGAATCCAAATAAAATTAATGAATCCATCAATAAATTTTTAAAATCCTTTAATAGGGTTCTAGACCAATGTGCCCCCTATAAAACTTTGACTAAAAATCAAATCAAACTTATATCTAAACCCTGGATCTTTAAAAAAAGGCTTACTTAAATCTATCTCTAAAAAAAATAAATTAAAAAATAAACTATAAAAAATTTGCAAGGTGTAAAAACAATGTAAATACTAAAAATGAGCTTTCACAAAATTTAAATTCTATCAAAATAGATATAGATGTAAATACTAAAAATGAGCTTTTCACAAAATTTAAATTCTATAGAAATAAAATTAGCAACTTATTAAAAAGTAGTAAAAAATCATACTACATAACTTATTTTAATAACAACATACTCTCGAGTTCCTAATAAACGTCCCCCTCTCCCCCCCCCCCTGTTTATTAATTTTCGGATATTTTTCCCACCCACTCTAAGCTTATTAAGATCCCCCCCCCCATATATATTAATTTTTACTTGTTATCAACAAAAAAATTATATATCTTAAAAGTAAAAAAAAAAAGCAAGGACAAAACAATTGTGAAACAGATGAAGGATATGAATCATTTGATTGTGAAGGTGAAACATTATTTATAAATCAACTTGATGAAGAACATCAGACAGGCGAGGAAAACAATACAAATTTGGAAACAAAATTTTTTTAAACAAAAAAACCTGCACATTTATTTTGTAGATAAAATCCTCCTCCTACTA